GGCGGCGGGGGCGGCGGGGGCGGGGGCGGCGGCGGCTCGGGAGCCGGGGCGGCCGGCGGAGGAGGGGACGACCTCGGAGCGAACGACGAGCTGATCCCCTTCCAGGATGAGGGGGGCGAGGAGCAGGAGCCGAGCAGCGACAGCGCCTCGGCGCAGCGGGACCTGGACGAGGTCAAGTCGTCCCTGGTGAACGAGTCGGAGAACCAGAGCAGCAGCTCGGACTCCGAGGTGAGGAGGCGCCCGCGGCCGGCCCCAGGGGACCCCAGCCCCGCGCCCGCTCACCGCCCTCGCCTTTGTGTCTCCTCTGCAGGCGGAGAGGCGTCCGCAGCCCGCCCGGGACGCCTTCCAGAAGCCGCGGGACTACTTCGCCGAAGGTACGTGTTCCTCTCCGGGGCCCGCGGCGCGCGTGGTTCCCTTGCCCGGGCGGCCGAACCGCCGCTCTGCTCCTCTCCTCTCCGCTGCAGCCGCCCGGGGCGCGCTCCGGTTCCGGGTCCCGGCCCGGAGCTCCCCGCTGTGGCACTGTCGCGGGTCCCGGGCCTCACCCTGCCTGGGTTTTGTCTGCAGTGAGAAGGCCCCAGGACGGCGCCTACTTTAAGGGGCCTCCCTACCCCGGGTACCCCTTCCTGATGATCCCGGACCTGAGCAGCCCGTACCTCTCCAACGGACCCCTGTCGCCGGGCGGAGCGCGCACGGTGAGCGAGTGGCGTAGTGCGGGGCCGGGGTGGGGTCCAGGCCGGGGCCCCCCGGCTCTGCGCGGGTGGGGGAGGGGGCCGCCGTGTCTCTCCCGGGCCGAACTTGTTTGCGGGGTGGAGCTGCCCCTGGGCGCCGAGCGTGAGGCTGCACTGGCCAGGGTCGGAAAGAAAGCAAAGTTCCTTTAGCTTCCTTTATTGCGGGTCGAGCCTTTGGGGTCCACTTCGGGGGATCTTCGTTAGCCACCAAAACTCTTTGCCAGCCCCAAGTGAGAACTTGGATTTGTGCCCGCCTTGGGGGATCTCCCTCTCCTTTCTAGAGATCCGTCAGCTTTCCTTGGCAGTTGGGCAGGGCTCGGAGGAGTCGGGTTGACGGGCCCTCAAGTTCTCCGGGTTTATTGGGCGGCTGTGGGTAGCTCCCTAACAACGCGGGTATTCTTTATCCCCTTCCAGTCCGCAGCCCTCACACCCGGGCCTTAACGTTTTGGCTTTGGAGCTTTGGATTTTAAGCTCCGAGATTTCGAGAGCTACCCAAGGCTTCCTTCAAGTTGAGGAACTTGGCTTTTTCCCCCCTTTGTTGCGGGCTTTTCTCATTTAAAGCAAGCGCTGCGACACTTTAAACCTGTTAATGGGCGCGCATTGTGTGCTGCGCGCTGGCATTTAGAGCGGTGATTAAGCAAATTGACCGGGCCCCAGACGACGTGCAAATGAGGGCGGATTCCTTCGCCCCCTCTCCTACTCTAAGCTCCCCCGCCCCTCCCGCCTAGCGAGGGGTACAGCCCCGGGCTGGCCGGGCCTTTGTGTGCCCCAGCTGGACTCCCTGCTCTGGCGCTGGGTCCGATGGCAGGGTTTGAGTGAGCACCTACTGGGTGCCAGGCTGGTGCTGTCGCCTGTGCCCTTTTCATTGCTTCCCTGTTAGCTCCCCTGTGGCGGCCAGTTCGTTTTCGATTGGGGGACAGAAACTGTTGGGCCCTTGCGAGTGGGGCTCCCCGGCAGGCTCGTTTTATCCTAAAGTTACTCCTAAATAGTGACGACCAAGGGCTGCTGTAGGAACGAGGCGTCGGGTGGGCCGTCCCTGCTGTCAACATGGGGCCATGGGTAGAGAGGCGCTGCCTTCTCCAGCCTGGGTGTGGGAGGCCCTGGTGGGGCGAGCGGGCCGGGAAGAAGGAAATCCCTCATCCTCAGCCCTGCTGGATTGGAGCATCCCCGAAGCCCTGAGCATCAGGTCCGCGGCGCAAGCTGGACATTGGCCTGTGGCTGTTGCTTTTTTTCATTCCTGATACAAGGAAAAATGTTTGCGAAAGTGGGCGATTTTCTCTCCATGGACACTTTCACCCCCCCAGCTCACGGATGGAGGCCGAGGTGGAGAGCTTCTGTGCTTACCCGGGTTGAGGAGAGGTGGGGTTCCCTCATGGGTGCCCCCCATTTCCTGTCTATCCTGAGGCCCCTTGGAGAGGGGCGCGGAACCTCACACCTGTGTCGGCCCAGTATGGCCCCAGGGTAGTCGAAGCCTCCAAAACTGTCCCTGGCAGGCTCCCTCCAGGGGTGTCCTGCAGACACCCATTTTTCCTTAGGGCATTCGGATTCTCCCAGCCTCCTAGTTTCAGAGGCTTGGCCCAGGACACAGACAGCCGCTGCTTTCAGAGGCTGCCCTGCTGCCACCAGGAGCCCAAGTGAGGCAGATCCTGGGTTTGTATCTTCCCCTCCTCCCTGCCTTCATCTTAGGTGTTCTTTTGCGTAAGAACTTCCAAAGGCTGCTGCTTCTGGGATTCCTGATGACTAAGCCCAGGCCTGATTGTAGAACTGTTTTTGCAGAAGGCTGCTTCTCCCCTCACGAGCCCTGCTCATGTTTACAGCCATTGCCTCTGCTAGCCCAGGTCACCAGCTCCCTTTCCACCCTCCTGAGACACCTGATTTCTTGGGGACTTAGAGTGTGCTCCACCTCTTGTCTCCCCAGTAAATTAGCTTATGGAATAAGCTTTATCTCCCCACCACCTTGTTTTTTTTTTTTCTCCCTCAGCGATCCTCTTGCCTCAGCCTCCCAAGTGCTGGGATCACAAGCACGCGCTCTCTCGATTGGCTTCTCCAGTGTTTCTGTGCTTCTTCTGTGCTGACTGCTGTGTTATTCCTGCCTGGTCAGTTATAAAGCTCATTCTTGTACTGGGCAAGTTTTCTTTGAACTTGGCCCATCCTTGGGTCAGCAAGGAAGGAAGCAGGGAGCTACTTGAGCACTTGTGCTATGGGCTGTGGTGGTGATTTCCCTTCGGTTGGGTCCATCGAGGAAACTCATGTGGCTTTTATTGGAGAGCAGACAGTGGCCTCTGTTACTTTCCCAGCGTGTTAAAACGATAGATGCAGAATGAGGAAAGGGGCGGGAGGGGAGCAGACAGCCTCCTGGGGACAAGTGGTCCCTGGGACAGAGGCTCTGCTTCCTGTATTTGGCATCTTGGGTCTTTTGTTTCACCTCCAGACTTTGCTGCTTTGAGGGGCTTTGCTGCTGGGAGGCCTCTAAATGGTATCAAATCGTGCAGCCTCAGTTCTCTGCTGCTCTAACATTTTCTGAAAATACCAGCACGGAGACTGTCTGCCGGCCTTTTCTGAGTGTCCCTGGACCGCAGGATCAGCAGGCAGCAGCCTCACCCACTGACCAAATTGCCTTGGGCTAGCCCTGAGGCCAGGTCGCCTCCCTCCCTGCTATTGTCACCTTGCTTTCCACTCTGGCTTGGCCGGCAGGGCTGCTGGGAAGTGGCCTCTTCCTGAGGCTCTTTAGAGAAGAGGGCCCCTTAATGTGGGGTGACTTCCAAGCCTCTGAGCCCAGTGTCCTGTGGCCCGTGAAGAGAGGAGCCATTGGCACTGACCATTTCTCTTTCGGGTAGCCACGCCCAGATTCTGCAGTCATTCATGAAAAGACTTCACAGGTTTACAAAACCACCTCGGCGCTCTTCGCTAGCATTTTTGTGAAGTTAGAAAATAGATGTCAAACATAGTTGGCAAGAAGAGCCAAAAGAAAGGTGCTCTGTGGGTGTAGCAAGCTAGCTCCAAGGTGAGCACATAGTCTGTGGCCATGGTGTGAGTGCTGATGACATTCGGGAGAGACACAGGTCTGGGTGGAGTTGCCAAGGGCGTCTGTGGGATTTGCGTCCAGTGCATGAGGTTAGGACCTACTGGCAGGCTGCTGGAGGCTGTCTCAGCTCAGACCTGTGTCTGGAATCGCTCTGCTCTTTAAATGTGTACTCATTTCTAAGTTCTTTGTGTCCTGTGCTGTTTCTCCTGCATAATTTTTGCCGACGCCTTGGGCGCTCCTGTTCTTTTAGATGAGCAGAAATCTCTGTGTCCATACACAGAGGTTGTTTGAGGGAACTGGGTGTAACAGCTAAGGAAAATCTTTTTTCTTAGAGGATCAGTGTAATCATGCTGCTTTTGGTAAAATGCTCTGAAGCCATTTTATCTAAATATAACTTCTGTTCCATTTTTTTCTAAATATAACTCTTGAGTTTAATGAGAGCTTTTCACATGGAGTGAGCTTTGGAGGGGGCCCTGTCTGTGTTCCTAAAGTTGTGGCACTTGGCTTGTTGGAGTGACATGTAGTTTCAAATTTTGTGGAGGGACTCAAACCCAGTCAATCTTTTTCCATTAGAGCTGGGTGTGGTGGTGCACACTTGTAATTCCAGCACCTGGGAGGCTGAGGCAGGTGAATCCCTGGAAGTTTGAGGCCAGCCCAGACTACATAGTTCAAGACCAGCCTGAACTACATAGTGGGACCTTGTTTTGAAACATAGCAACAAAAGTCCTCAAGAAAGTAGATCTGGTACAGAATATCTGGCCTGACTTATCGTAATTTTGGAATGTTATAGTTTGGTCTTATTAATCATTTATCTTGTTCTGGGACTTTTGTGAGAAAGTAGGCTGGTATACACATACACATGCACGCACGCACGCACACACACACGCATGTGTGCACAAAACCCTACGTTTAACAGTGTTCAAGCCTTTACAGTGACATGTAGACTGATGTGAACGGTGATTGCCAAATGAATTGTGGGGGAAAAAAAGAATTAGACTGATTAATTCACTGAAAAATCTTTTGTAAGGGAAAGACCCTACTTACACTTCAATGAGAGACAACTTTTAGTTGTTAACTGGGGAAAGTTTAGATTTGCATCCTAAAGCTGAAGTAGCTTTCTTCCCACCTCAGTGAGTGTGTGTTGAGGAACTGTCCTCCCCTGGCTAAGCAAGATAAAAGCACTGGGCCCAGTGTTTGGCCTACAGAACATAAAAATTAAGTTAGGAAGAAATAACATTAGTACCGTAAGAGGAAGTCTGTGGTAAGAGGCAATTAAGTGTGAGCACACGTTTTTATTATTTATTTGTTTGATACAGGATCTCACTACGCAGTTCAGACTCATAGTGATCCTCCTGTCTCAGCCTCCCCAGTTCTGGGATTACTGGCGTGCGCCACCACTCCTGCTTTCAGGGCTGGCACAGCATTCCGTACTAGGGATTGAACTCAGGTCCTTACGCTTGCCAGGCAGGCGCTGCTTAGACCACTGAGCTATCTCCCCAGCCCAGGGAACACATTTTTAGAACAAGGAGAAATATGGGAAATTTTCACTGAGCAAGGATGGTCAAGGAAACATGTATAGGAGGTGGCTTTAAACTAGTCCTTGAAAGTCACTTGGTTGTTTTTGTTGGTTTGTTTCTTTTCTGAGTCAAGGTCTTACTCCATAGTTCCGTAGTTCCGCTGACTTTAAACTTACCCTGTAGCGCAGGCTGGCTTGAACTCACAGGAACTTCCTGCCACAGCCTCCCTGAGTACTGGGATTGTAGGTGTACACCTACCCTCGACAGTCAGTTATTTTTTAAATTTAGAGTAATTTTTGTTATTTATTACAGAACATTATAGTGCAGAGGTATTTAAAGGACAGAAGTCCTCCTTCATTCCCGCCTTGACATGGAAGCCAGCACAGGGAGAGTAAAGCCAAGCAGGGAGGGACAGTTCAGAG